TTAGGAAGGAAAAGGAAGTATTAAAGAATGTTATTAAGATTTTTGTTGAGCTTTTAAATATATTTTTCTTATCTACTTTACGAATGCTCTTGCACTTTCTCAATGCAAAATTGAACTAAAGCTGCTATTGGATAGTGCAAAGATGAAAATCCTAAATGTGTACAAAAAAGGAATTGGTTAAGGATAATTCAGCTTGGAAGGGAACTTGGGCCTTGAGTCTGAGCAGGGCAAGCTTGATCAGACCAGCTTCCTCTGAGCTTTGTTCATTTGGTTTGGGAAGCTCTGCATACAGACACTGCACAACCCTCCCTGGGCAACCTGTTCCTATTCCTGGTAGCCCTCAGGGTGAAGTCTTTCTGACAGTGGCTATATACAGCATGAGGGCCTGAATACGACTTGAATACATCTACGTTCCTGTTTATCTGAAGATGTGAAGTAAAAAGAAATACTAGGAGAAAAAAAAACAAAACAAACCCAAAAAACAACCTCAAGATGTACAATACCATTTTTATTGTATCTTTCTGCTTGGTGGTGTGTTACTTCTTTTACTTCCTTCCCCTTCCTGGCAGCCATGGATGAAAACAGGACAGGCAGCCCTCTGGTTTGACCCATTTCTGATACTCGCAGTCAGACAACACTACTGGAAATGGGAGCTGTAAAGAAAAACAAAAAACCAAAAAACCAAACAAAACAAAACAAAAAAACCAACAAAACAAAACAAACAAAAAAACCCCAAAACATCCCTCCCACTCCCCTGCCCCAACAAAACCCCCTGACCTTCCCTCACCATGGTAAAAAACATGAAAATCCAGGGACGGAGATGTCAAAAGAAGTCTGATTTCACTGAAACCACACTTTCACCTTGGGAGGCTTGGTCTTATGGACAAATTTCTAGCTCCCTCCTCTTCCTGGCCATTAGTGTATAAATAAAGGTTAAATGGAAAAAAAACAAACCCAAAACAACAACCATCTGAGAAGGCATAAACAGCAAGTACCACACTGGACGTAAGTTAGACCAAGTATTAGTATGTATTTATGCACAAGAATAAAAACAGCTTTACAAGTTGAATTGGAAATTTAAACAGAGGAAGTTTAACAGCTTTTGCATATTATATTAAATAACAAAAACACCTTTTTCCAAAATTGGTAAAGAATAAATAATATAATTTACAATATGGTACAAAAAATAATCAGTAAGGACAGGCATTCTGCTTTATACATACACTATATAGGTATATTTATAATCTATAAAACAAATTCACATCTCAAACAAGCCAGAAACCTCAGATGATATGGCTTAACTATTATTAAAAGAAACAGCATTAAATTTTGCTGCCAGAACCATAAGCTCTAAAGCAGTTATCACGTTTCAGTAATTAATGATAACTTATTGCCGTAGTGCTTGCCAAGGTTTCACTTAGTCAACATTTACAAATTGCTGTGATATTAAGAGATTCAAAGGTTTGAAAAGGTTAAAAAAAAAAAAAAAGTGCAGTACTTTCCTTATAAATGCATCCGAAGTCTGACTGTAAAAAACAAAATACAACTCAATTTCCACTCTGGGACCTCTGGAGTCAGTAAGTGAGATGTCTTTATGGGTTAGATTTGATCCAATCCACTTAATTCCATTTCAAAATAGAGAGGGGTGTCAAAAAAAGGCTTAACAAGGCCGTATTAAAAATGGTTAGTATTCCTATCCTTAGTAGCTTTAGTGATAAAGGACAAAATGAATCGTGGGGTTAATCAGGATGCAACACCCAGCAGAAAACTCATCGCACACATGGGCAGCTCTAGTTCCTAGGATGTAGTGCTGCTTGTCACCCAGACCACAACGGCAACAAACTCTGAATTTTCCACCATTCACCTTGCTGAACGACTCAGAACTTCCTTACTATATATAGTCATACGGGGAGAGTCTGGACCAATTGATAATGGAGGTTGTTAGTGTCCATTTGTCTTCTCCAATCACCCTACAGTGCCCTAAGGAGCTGTTAAGCTGACAATATCACATGGACATCAAAACCCATTCTGTGTGTGGGTCAGCGTAACCTGCCAGAATGTGTGTGCAGGATGGGCTGGCATTGTTACACAAAGGGATCTTACTGCTTCTGCTGGGGAAGCTAAATAAGTAAAAATGAGAAAGTCTGTGTTTTACAAAAAATACACGCACACACAAGCATGCATATATGTGTGTGCGTATGTGTGTACACACCCCAACCCGCTCATTTTTCGCTTAGCAGCCTTAGGCACAAACTGCTGATGATTAGAATTGTAAAGCACATCCACCTAAAATCTAAAGCTGGTGCATTCAGAGGTGTGTTCAAGTGACCTTTCATGTAACAGAGACAACAAATTCTGCATCGATTCAACATCACCACAATAATCTGTTATTTTCAAGTTTTTTTCCCTTGTAAGACTTGTCCTGAAAGGGCTTTGTTACTAAACTGGAGCCTGCAAAGTGCTACAGCTCTGAAATCAAATTTTGTTTCATAATGACAACTTTCAAGAGGCTGATGCCAAGCATTCCTAATCACAAAATTCTGAGTGCTGAACTGACCTCTGTCATTTCCACTTTGTTATTACTTGGTGGTCCAAGTCTACTTGCAAACATTCAGAACATTACGTGTTTTCTGATCTCATGGCACCATTAGGAACAGCCACTTTGCTGACTTCATTCTGCTATTTTATTATCCCCCTATGGGAATGGAATGGGCTGAGGAAGTGCAGCATGACAGGTCCCTGTATGTCAAGGACTCACGGATCCTGGTGCTCTGCCATATTGGTGCAGCAACACTGGCACTTATTCTAGGCAACCAAGGAGTCAAACCTAGCATCACATCCACTCCATTACCAGCAAGGGTAAAGTCAAAATGCTTGTCAAGCCACCTAAACACACTGGAGACCACCACCCTGGTCTTTTCGTATTTAGAAGTTTAAGAGTTCAGGTTTGTTCTTTTATACAGTACTTGATTAGAATGAATCACATCTCCTGCATGTCCTGTAATCCACAGCCACAGCAGGAGCCCTCTGCTTTTGTCCTGCAAGTCCAAAGGATTTTTGGAGGTACAGCATATAGGACAATCAGTGTTATTAATGCAAGAAGCCAAACCCAAGAGGAAACAATCTGGGAAAGACTACACCAAAATACAGCTCAACTCAAAGTAAAACTGCAAAGTTTTAGAGGGAGTGACTCTTGAGATCCACGGGTATCCTCTCCATACCAAGGGTCAATGCTCAGAATGATACAGTCCCCAGCATTCATTTTTCTGACAGCCTTCAACCTTTTGTATTCTAGGTTTACATGATTTCCTGATAATTCCATCCGAATTCTCAAACAAGGCTCTGAAAGAATAATGAAAGATAAATAATGCCAGGACTTAATATACCACATGACATGTGGTCAGAATAGGAAGTTAGCCCACAGGTAGGAAACTCCCCATTCTTCTAGTCATGATTGTTTTCTTGTTAGTAATACAGGTTTGCCTCCCTGCTGGGCACATCCAGTTGTTCTAATGCTGGTTTTGCACACCTGTATGGTTCCTATGTCAAAGAGGAAAATGCAGCAACCTGACACTTCGGGTCCTGGAATGTCATCCAAACATCACTACTTTTCAAGTGAAATCAGGAAGGTTGCTCTGGGCCACACAAAAGGTGCATCAAAAAGCATGTTACATTTTCTCTTAGTGACAGAAAGCATAAGGCAAACCACAGAGTGGTTAAAAATAATCGACATAAAGCAGGATGAAGTGACTGGGAAAACAGCAAATACAATCAGTGCATCGTGAGCAGGGTTACAAGAAGAAACTCCCAGTCAAATGCCTTGTAGAAGTAGCTCAAGGCAGGTAGAACTATATCCACCAAGTACAGTGCAAGTTGGGAAAATGAACCCCTGATAATAGCCTATGAGATGGAGAAGTTTTGTTTATTTATTAATAATAAAAAGTTGAGGTTTATATAGGACTAGCCCCTTGGATCAGTTCAGAGCTACTTAAAATAGCCAAGAAACATCCTCTTACTGGAGCAGCAAACAAGTGCTTAAAAAAGGGGTGCAATAAAGGTATTATGTCTCATGACTGGTAGGAAAGGAAATAGGAAAAGTCTCCTGAGTTATCAAGGTAGAATTGATGGAAAACCAGCTCTCAAGAAAGTAACTTCACATTCCTTTGAACCCACTGGTATCAGGATCTGGGTCTTTCCAATATTAAAACTTTGAATGCATAGGGATTCAGTAGAGAGAGTACCAGATCCACTAGTGCCTGCGAGTGACCATAGTGAAAAATGATGCCCTGAAGTACTACAGAGCATCTGGAATTCACAGAAAAAGGAGGAAATAAGGACGTACTAAGGGATTAAGCTTGGACTAACTCCTCTCCTCTTCAAGACACAAACAGTTCTCAACTTTAGCGTTAACATGTTATGTGTTTCTATATATTGTAATATTCTCTCCTATTTCCTCTCCCAAGTAAATCCTCAGTTTTTGTGAAGAAAGATGGCAATCTATAAAGGTTTCCAGCAAAGCCAAGACTAATTACAACAAAGCTTTCATAGTGATTCCAGTAGGCTCTTTTGCAGTGTTACCTGACTGAAAAAGCAATTGTTCTTCAGGGAAAGCAAGAAAGCACTCTCCCACTCATGGGATGAACTGTGCAATGGGATGAAGAATCTCAAAAGGTGAAAAACATGAGTGCAGTCAGGATGATGATGACGACTGTGACACGTGACGGGGTATAAAAATAGAGGAAACTCCCCAAGGATCCATGCAGTCTGTGAGAAGGGTGAACCAGAACTCCCCTACAAACCAAGAAAGCAGGTATGTGCTCCTGCTGGAATGGTCAACAACAAAACAGCCAAAGAAACAGACTGCTCTAGAAAAAAAGCACTGTAGAGTCGCAGGTCCTTTGAAGAGAGTGCAAGAAACTTCAGTTTGACTGACTGACAAAAAGAGTGCCAACTAGGACATGTAAAGATGCAAACCATTTCCCATTCCCACCCCCATTCTCCATCCTCCACAGCTTCAATGTGGATCCCAAATCATGGTATTTAGAGTACAACGCAAAAAATAATTCATGTAGGGGAGCTCCTGGCAATGCTATTCCCTGCTTGAACTTCTTGCTTAGGCCATTCCGAAGTACAAGTCCAGGACTGCCCCATAAAGCTGCCATCTTGTATCACTGATGCAGGGGACACACCATTTCCTGTAACACTATTCCATGTTTTGCTGTTCCCAACATATTGCACATTCTAGGACTTGCAAGTACTTCTTCACACCTCTGAAGACAATGCTTCTGTTTGCAAGAAGCATACAAGACAGGAACAAGTGAACCTCAGCTGCTTCTCTACAACCTGCCCTTGCCATGATCCAGCGCTGCAAGCTCCAACATTAGCTGAACAGTCTACACCAGCCTGCTGGTCTTACACACTCACTGTGAGAGATCCCCAATTGGGGGACCACCATCAAACAGAATTTCCCTGCGAGCTGGCTCAGGTATTGAGAGTTCCTGGGCAAGGTCATTAAAACGAGATATGTAATCTATGCTGTTCTCATTCATCATGCAAGCCAACTGGGAATCCACCACCTACAAGAGACATGAGAGAAAACAAGAGTGACATGTCAGTAGAAATTTCACAGCATCACAGAACTATTTTAGGTTGGAAGGGACATCTTGAGATCATTTTGTCCAACCATCCTGCTCAAGTAGGGTCAGTTAGAACAGATTGCCCTGGACCTTGTCCATTCGGGTGCTGAATTATCTCCATGAACGGACATTCTAAATCTCTCTGGGCAACCTGCTTCCATGTTTGACCACGCTCATGTTAAAAAAGTTTTCTTGTGTTCACATGGAATTTCATGTTTCAATCTGTGCCTGCTGACTTCTGTCCTAAAAGTGTGGCTCCCTCATCTTCATTCCTAGCCTCTCCTCATACAAAAGATACACTTTATCTGAGTTAAGAGAATAGCTCTTATCCACAAACAAGCAGAAGCCTCTAAAAAACAAAAAACAAACAAAAAAACCCCCCAAAAAACCAAACAAACAAAAAAACAAAACAAAAAAACCCCACCAAAACCCAAAACAACCTGTAGTCTTAATGGGCCTTACCTGCCTATCTTTAATCCAACATTAAGGTGCACTTTATAGATATTACCTTTAACCCAATAACTGCATTTGTAAATAAAACCTGATTCTGCAGGACACTTATTAAAAGGCCTTTCAAAATGCTCCCATCATTAAAGCCATTTTTAGATGACACTTGCTTCCTCTGAAGACTCCTATGCAATCCTGCATCTGCCACAACTGCTGCTTTGGTGTGCTTACCCCATTTTATTCTGAAGGCAGATTGTAAGATCAAGGGCTGTGATGTCACTTCAAATCCATACCAAATAAATTATCACATATTCATTTAATTAGCACACACCTTGACAGATTCTCACCACCAAGCAAGCATAATCTTTTTATTTAGCCCAGGAGGTAGAGCTGTGGGTGGAGTCTGAAGCTGCCAAGGGCACATTAAAACAGCATGGGCTTGCTGCAGCTTCTGCTTACAAGGTCTGTACAGAAACTCCTTATTCAAATGCAAAAGCAATGGAGGAATGACATTTTCCTTCCACCAGGGGAAGCCCCCCAAAAGCTACAGCATACATAACCCTACGCTGAGTCAACAACTGTAAGCTGTGGGGTAATTAAGATTGGAGGGGACGTGAAGAGGTATCTAGATCAACCTCCTGCTCAAAGAAAGGTCACCCAAGGTGCTGTCACCCAGGAGGACAGACAAGCTTACTCAGGGCTTTATCGATGTTGGCCTTGAACAGCTCTGAAGACAGACATTGCTCATCACCTCCTGGTAACCTGTTACCCTGCCCACCTGTCCTCAGAGTGAAAAAGCTTTTCTTTATATGTAGTCAGAATCTTTCTCAATTCAGTTTTTGCTTGTTCCTCCCACCATGCATCACCACTCTGAAGTGCCTGGATACTTCTTAATGACCTCCAAAGAAGCACTGGCAGGCAGCCAGGTAGGTCCCTCCTGCCCTGAAGCCTTCTCCAGGCTGAACAAGCCCAGTATCAGCTGCCTTTCCTATGAGACAGATGCTTCAGTCCCCTACTTGTCTTGGCAGCCCTCTCCTGAACTTGCTTCAGTTTATCTATGTCTTCTCTGTATCAGGTGCTCAAAACCGGTCACAATATTCTAGACATGGTCTCTCAGCTGTTGAGTAGAGTGGCATTATCATTATTTTGTTCCTTCTACTGGTTATGCTCCTGTTAGAACAGCCCACAACACTCTTGGTCTTCCTAGCTGCCACAGAATGTCCTGGCTCATGTTCAGCTTGCTGTCTATCAAGATGTCCAGGTACTTCTCAGCAGAGCTGTTTCTTAAACAGTCAGTCTCCAGCCTATATTGCTCTTAGGGTTATTCTTTTTGCATTTGTCTCTGCTGAATTCCATTATGCTCCTGCAGCAAATTCCTCCAGTCTGTCCCTCTGAAAGGCAGTTCTGTCCTCAAGCATATCAAAGCCTTAGCAACTGCTGATCTTCACTCTACCCCTTCAAAAGATTTCAAAACAGAAGGATAATTCTACCATCAGAGAAAACAACTCAGCAGCACAGGATCTTCTGCCATTCTCTCAGGTACTGGTACTGGCCATTTCCTGCTTCTTCCTTCTGGACCTACTGCACCAGCTCTGGGCCATTTACTCTCAAGTAAGTTTACATCTTTCCATTAAGACTGTCACCCTGTTTTACTAAGAAGCTGAAGTGCAGATGTCAAAGCATCTTTGCCATGTCAGGAAGGTATGATGAATGATACACAATAACACTGCACTAAAAAAGGAAGCAGATAGCTGCATGTAATTAGATGACATACCTCTGCTACATCTGCTAGAGACCGTGACACAAAAGAGTCCCGTGAGTTTCCATCCAGAAGGCTGGGTCCCAGTAAGGAGGTGCCACTGGCAGTCCCAACAGGAGTTGGCAACATTTTTCGTCCCTTCTCAGGGGAGATGAAACTTGCTATAAGGAACAGGCACATCAGTAAGCCACTGCACCCAATGTTTGCAATTTGCAGGATAAAGAGAAGGACAAGGAAGTAGAAAAGAGAGGAGGAGATCTATTTCTTTTATCTCTTAAAAAAGTATGTTACCATCATGAAGACCATCAGTGTGCTGCTAAGAGTACAGAGAGTCATTAAATATTAATTAAAAACGCACACCAACCAAACTCCAAACCAACCCAGTGATCATGTCTTTGAGATTATGCTCACCAAGCACAGAACAAAGTCTATTTTTCCAACAGCAGAACCAATGGCATCTTTTCATTCTGGCAGAACAACCAAAATGTCTCAACCTAAACTTATGAGTCAGGCTCCAAAAAGACTACAAAGAATTGCCAAGGAGTTATCTGCCCCAAGGTATGGGCCCCAATCTAGCAACAGGATCTTTTCAGGAACAGACTTGTAAAGAGAAAGAAAATGTATTCAAGACAACACTGTTGAAATGAAAGCAAAAAGTAAGGGAAGAGTTCTACTAATGTCCTACAGGGTTTACAGTTTTCCAAAGGATCCACTTCTAATAAGCAGTGTCTTTTTTTTTAAGGGAAGAGCTGTTTTGTTGCAGTTCTCTGCACACTGACACTTACAAAACAAGCTGCTGAGAGAAGAATCTGTAGAGTCATTGGGGTACCACTGGGGATCATGGCTGGGGGACGCAATCCAGTTCTGCTGAGGACTACTTGATGGGGACGGAAGACTTTTGGAGCTGTCACTGCCATTCAGCTTCGCAGGAGAGAGAGAAACACCTTCACCTGTAAGCCAGTATCAGGAATCACTGATTCAGTTAAAGTGGTGAAGTTACAGTTTCTGTTCAGAAAGGAAAAAAACAACCACCAACCCAAAAACTCCACAACAAGAAGAAAACCACCTATATATGCTATAAACCAAAAGCTACACACATAATTTTATTTCCAACGGATATTAAAAGAAAAAAAACAAGCTAAACAAAAAAATAGAAAAAAAAAAAACCCCAACCCAAACAAAACAACTCCAACTGCTTCCTGGAAAAGTTTCTTCTGACATGGAAATTATTTAATAGGAAGACTTTAGCTGAGCTCAGACTTACTGTATTGACCAGAGCTGATAGCTATTTCAATGATAGAGTCACTGATTTGAGTGGCAGGTTCTCCTTGAGAAAGCACATCTTCAGGTGGTCCAGGCAGAGAAATATCCAAGAGAGCAGAAACATTGGGAGGAGAGAGACGGGTACTGGAAGCCTCTGATGAGGGAAGTGGAGGGGTGGAAAGACCATTCTGGAGGGAAGTCTTGGACAGTTCTGACAGAGAAAGGACTGATGTGCCCTGTTACAAGAAACAGTTAAATGTTTGTAAATCTACGAAAGACTTGGAAATCCACCTGAAAAGCAACAGTTTATCTCCTAAACATCAGATTAAAATCAGACTTTAAGGAGGGTGGGGGGAGAGGACTAACAGTCTAGCGGACAACAGTCCTAGAATTTTAGGAATATATTATTTGTATAATGAATTTGTAGTATTTGAATGAGAAATATCTACAAGCATAAACAAATACGCTTCATCTCATCTCCTGCCAAATAATCTGAAAAAACAAGGGTCTGTATCATTCCAAAGAATGTTTAATACAGCCTACATAACAGAAACAAGCCTAACATCATCAACATGGTTTTGATGAACCTACAAGATAGTTCTTAAGTATTAATTTGCCTTTGTATAGGCCCAAACCCTGTAACTGCTTGAAAAGTATACAAGTATTTTGAACAGCCAGCTCACTCCTCTTTACAGCCTTCCCAAAACTCAAGTGATCTTTTTTAATGAGTCTTGTTATTAGTACCTCACCGTAGAACTGCTGTGATTCTCCTCTGATGTAGTATATACAAAGCTGTCCTGAGAGCAAGAACCAGAACGTAGGGCTCCATTACCACAAATAAATGTAGGTTCATGTCCTAGCACCTCTACTATATAAAAATCTAAATAAAATCTTCCTCTGCTTTATACTGTCCAATCAACTTAATTGGACCTTTTTCACATATACTTGTCACAGGAAGGGTAGAGAGTGCTTTCACTGAAAAAACGAGAAGCCTATCTTCTGAGGCTTAAGTATCTAATTAAGGTCCTGGATCCCACTAGAGAAGGAATTGGCAATAGGAAAACAACATTTTTGCAACTTAGGTGCTGCCACAGTCACTTTTTAAGTATCTATGCCGTATGGATCCAGCATAAAGAAAAGTGAAGCTCTGACGAGGATGCTAGCATTACAATCACACTTTAGTCCTAACGTTCCTCCTTCAGCAACATACAAGCAGGAGGACTTCCACCTGCAGAAAACTTTCTTTGTGATGTAGAAAATACCTACGTACAATATAGCAGGGCAATTACACCACTGTATAAGGAAATATGTAAAACCTGTTTGACCTTCAAAGGCCAGAGACTGCCAGCTTTGCTTTGCTATTTTATAGAACAGCAGCCACATGAATTTAAGCAGCTTTCCTAAATTTCCTTCTTCAAATTTCTTCAGATGCTGGAGATTTCAATTCCCACAAAATAGTACCAATGGTATACCATTACCTCTGAACCAGGGGTTTGAGCTACCAGTATCAGTGGTGTGTCCAGAACATTACCCAGTTCATACAACTGTTCTTTCAACACATAAAACTCTACCTGGAAGCCATCAGGAACTGCCTCCTGCTCCTGCCGTGTGGGCAGGCTGATGAACGGAACCCGACACCCAGGGCCTGAGCCCTGGAAGCACAAGAGAAAACATGTGAGTGACAAACATTTACGTAAGATGCTGCAAACATACCTGGGGAGGTAAGACACACATGCCTATTACTGTTTCTGCATGCTCTTTTTACATATTGTGCCTTTCAAAATTATCCAGTAACTCCCTGAGAAAATGACAATGGACCAACACATATTTGTATCTCAGTGAAAGGAATGGCAAGGAGAAATTACAGTTTCCATTCCTAACACATGCCTGAAAGTCCAGGTTTTCCCCAGAATTCCCTCCTGAATTACTGTCTACTGAAATGCTACTTTCTTTTCAAGCCTGCACTTCTGGATGACCAACTTCACGTCTCACAGCTGAAAGCCCTTGTGCGCGACAGAAACCTGTTCAATGTGATGATTTCATCCCTCAGCCCAAAATACACATTATACAACATGGGTTGGCTTTGCCATGATCAAAGCATCCAACAGCAAGCCCCAGGAGAAAGCTCACTGAACAGTCATTAATAATAGAGCTTTTTTTTTTTTTTGTTTTACACAATGGAAGAGCAAGACACTGAACTACTATAAAAAGCACTCTTGAGACTGACCTCCACAGTGTTGATGGAGCCTCTGTTCTGCTGCGCTGCTGACTCTTGCCCTGTCACCACTGTGGCCACTCCGTCTGGTGACAGTGGAGACACACCTGACAAACCATCTGTGTCCAGGACAGGCACAGGGCTCCCAGGAATAATACCAGCACTTTTAGCTGCCAAGTCAATAGCACCTTTTTTTTGGGGGGGGGGGAAGGAGGGGCAAAGAAAGGAAAAAAAAAAAAAAAAAAAAGGCAAAAAACACATTACAAGGCTCTTCTACAGGCAATGATTTTGTTGTGACTCAGAGTCAAAACTTAACACATACAAAAAGCTAAAATTGTCATTATCTGACCAGCAGTTCCAGTTGTCACTCCAAAGTGTAATATTTCTTTCAGCTAAAGTGGTTAATCCTCCTGCCCTGTTCCACCATGTTATCAGGTACACCAGACCAGTTCAGAGAAACATCCCAGTTCTCAACTCCTGCCCTCTCCTGCAAATTGTTAAGAATTTGGTTACGCAGTTTCTAGAAACTTCCTATGGATTTACTAGAGGGGCTCTAAAATCAACACAGCCTTATTTTGTTATCTTGCCTCTAGCAACTGTTTAGACTCAACAGAAAAAACTTACCTTGTTGCAGCGTCAAACTCACTCAGATCTTTTAAAAAGCTGCCTAAAGGCCCTGAATGCTTTCTCATCACAGGGAATCCTCTAAATAAAAACACAGAGGCTGTCATTGCTTTCACCTCACTAATTGTCCTAATTGGGGGACCCATTCTTTTTCTGCCAGACGACATTTGCTTGGGGTACACTAGCAGGTGTTTTATTTGTCGAATTCATTATCCCATATTAGCAGATCAGCAGTTATGAAGTTTCTTTCAAATGTCACAACCCCTTTTCTTACCACAAAAAGTCACAAAAGTGCTCAAATCTGGTCACAAACTCTAAGCCCATGCTTTGCCTGCATGGTCAGACACAGCAAAGGAACAGAGTTCAGACTGCCCAACCACCAACTGCAGTCACACAAAGCCACAGGAGGCAAGATCTCATTAACACAGCCCTCTTCTTTAACTCCCACAGGCACTGATTTTACTTAGGCTACAGAAACCACCACACAGCTCACAACAGACCATGACTCTTGTCTGGTCCAGAAATAACTTACTGGACAGATGGTTGGTAGCCTGTGTTGGAAGAACTTTGGGCACAATTGGACGAGAAACAGCAGCTTTCGTCAGTGACGACTGGATTGGCCGAAACGAACCTCTCCCTAGGGTGAAGAATTAAATACCTCTCAAGCAAATGAAATCAAACATCTTTAAAGCAGAGTACAACGCAGTTCAATGAAAGCAAATAAATTCCAAGCAGTAGCAAGTTCTGGTAAGGCAAATAGTGGAGATGAGGCAACAGACTTGAAATAGTAATGCAAGCTAACCAGCTACACCCCTTATCTGCACAAAGACAACATTTAAAGTCTCATGTTGATTTTGAGATTTAAGCTGACATCACCCACTGTACTCAAGAGTTTATTAGCAGGAAAGGACAAATGGGCAGTATATTAGTTATACAGTCTGAAATTTAAATGGTATCTCAGTTACGAGAAAAAGGCCTTTATAAAATCTAGACAAACCATCACACCCTACAGAAAAAAACCCAACAATTTATTTAAGGAATTTATTCCAAAATTTTGTCTCCTTGTAGAGAACTCCTTACTATTCCTTGCTTTCAATACTAGGAAAAGGAAGAAAAAATTTTTTGTCATAATCATGGCTTGCTTAACAATGATCCAAGAGAACAATCCCATCATCCTGCGGGAAGTGACTCAAACAACTGGTAAATGACTGGTTTTGAAAGGATATTGTACTCTCTTCAGAAATGATTCCTTTATGTAGTTTTAAGGAACACTTTTCCAGGCCAGCTCTTGAGAGCATAAAATTGAGAGAAGATATGCAGAGACTCACCTGTAATGGATGAGTTGGATAAGATCGAAAAGGAACAGACATGCTGGGATGGATTTCCAGATGGCCTGGGCAGCAGCGTTCTCTACATGAGAAACAATACACCAGAACACATTTAAACACAGAGCAGAGGGTAAAGCTCATCTTCTAAAGCACAGAAGCTCATGATACCTTCCAGAAAAAGCAGAGTATTTACACGGCATGACTATCACGTAACAGACACAACAATAAGGTCTGTATAATCTTGAGAAAGAAGTTACAAATAGGAATCATGTGTTTTCCCTGTAAACTACTGTAGGAGAAATATTCCATGTGAGCATTTCTCTGAGAATTGTCCAACAGAACCATATTCCTTTCTGATTATACTTGCAGTAATTTTCAAATCTCCTGCAGAACTACAGCAGTGATCTTAATGATGGGATCCAGTCTGTGTGCAAACTGGTCTTCCATTACAACTACACAAGTGTGAATTAATGAGGCAGCTGTGTGTACCTGGGACTCCTAAAGCAAATGGAATTGCAGAGCCCAGACTCTCTCAGTCCCAGTATGTATGTCATTTCTATGCCTGCTACTCTCACACAGAGCAGAAGAGACAAAAGGGCATACAGACACTCAGTAACTTTGTTTTCCTGAAACAAGTTTCCATTATTTTGATTTTAGATTTCTGGTATGTTCTCCACCTGCCTGTGGTTTCTCTACAGCATGTGCCTTTTTGCTGGGTTATCAGAGCAGTCTAAAGGAGGTTAACACCTACCAGAAGTCCCATGACATCAGGCTACCTCTTCCATACATCTCTTTGCAAGTCCCATTTTTGTTCCAGAAATATTTGTTCTTTCAAATAGTGCTGTGCTTATTTCACTAGAGGTTTATATCCACCCCAGTTGAACAGCCACCAGTGAGCAGGAAAAGCTGTCCCAAGGGAGATCTTGTTGTGATAGCCCCAACTGGCAGCTCACGATGAACACACTGCTTGTGCACCAGGACCAGGCCCAAATAGCAGAACCTGCCTTCAGAGAAGGGGATTTTGATTTTTAACAAACTAACTTCATGCACTGTACTACTACTGTTGTTGACATTCCTTGCACAGGGAATATAACATGCCTGGTTACAATACAGACTGAACTACTTGCTCCTTCATATGTTCAGCTTCACTTTTCCAGTGCATGTATGAGAGAAGGTCAGGTTTATTTCAGTTAGATGCAAACCATTATAGCCTTACTGATACCTCTTCAGGAATCAAACTAGGCATTTCATACTTTGCAAACTGCTCTGACCTGTACTACTAACGGCTTCCGCAAGTGCCTGTTCCGTAACTTCCTTGGCTTTGGCAAGAAGAAGTCCGACTGCATCTGGACAAGAACAGGAAATGCATTAGAAAGTATTTTAAGCACACAGACCCCAAACTCTGTTTTGCAATAATGTCATAACTATTTATTAAAATACTCTGCTTTGGTTTAGACAGAATATTCCTTCTGCTAGAGAAGGAAAGTTTTCCACAAGGAATGTATGTTTTATTTCTTATGGAGATAAAGTTTCCTCCCAAAAAAGCCATTTCACTACTTAACTACTGTAGCTTGCTATGAAACTGTTACTGAGACTGTATATACAAAACTAAAATCAGAATTGGAATTAAAGGCAGCTATGAGGCTGTACTAAAACCAGCTGCACGGGAAGAAGGATATCAGTTTTGCTAAAGCTGGCACATCTATGTGCTGGAGCAATTTAATTAGAGTGAACCAGCTCCATCAGGCCGTGTGATGGCATTCAGACTGGGGTCTCAACAGGTGATGTCACTGCAAGGCACAGTCAGTCAAAATCTGGCTCATCTCAGCTAATACAAGTTTATGCTAGAGCATCACTAGCAGCACTGCTTCATAAGGAACCCATACCTCCTGATGAACCAACACCATCCTATCATACCTACTGGAAGCAGGCTCATACTACTTTGTTCATGCAGTCACCTCACTCACACTGATTGTGTCCAAGTGCTGCCGAAAGGTCAGTTCTGCTTCTTTGCTGGGCAGGAACAGTTTCCCATGGCGGCTGTTGGGTGGCAGAGTCGTAGGAACTGCAAAGAGTCCACCGTCAGCATCAGTGCTTCCAGAACTTGAGGGACCAGCCACCAAGAGAGGTCTAGGGAGGTTTCTCAAACCTACAAGAGTTGAACAGCAATTTAAGTGAAGCAAAACCAAAAAGAAAGTAACTATTTAGTAACTCAAGGCTCGTAGAGAGAGCAGAGACTATGGATTCTGGATCTGCCACCCCACCTGCAAATTCACAGTATTTAACTGCTTCACAAGGCTACTGCAAACATTCACTTACCTTGAAATCTTCAGAAGAAAGGGGTTAAATGTGATTTTATGCTACTAAAGAAACTAGAATTTAAGCCACACACAGACTCTGTTAATAAGTTTATCTGTTCAGCTTACAGAAATACTTGAGGGCTCTTCCCACTGGACAAATTATATACCCACTATCCTTTTTGTAGGGGAAGACAATAAAAAGACAAGTTCATTCAACAATGCATGCGTTTAATTTACAGTCCCCACGGCAATTAAAAGTGCAACCACAATAAAATTATTCTGGTGGCAGAGAAATGAGACAACAGGGATCAGTTTACTGAAGTATCTTCCAAAAGATGGATTGCCAATACATATGGCACACTGAAATAACAGCATCTGCTCCAAGTAAAACTTCTCCATTTGCATTTCTCTTTACTGTAGCGTTCCTCAGTGTTGTGCCCACTCTGCAGGGATCCAGCTAGGGTGAAAAGTCAGGTTGGAAAAAGCCTTTGAACATCCCTGTCTACGGGAAGGCGTCCCTGCCCATGGCAGAGGGTTGGAACTGGGTGAGCTTTGATGTTTGTTCCAATCTAAATCCTTCTATGATTTAACCTTCTCGGTAGAAAACAAAGCTCAGAAGATAGCCTGCACACAGTCCAGGAGTACTGAAAGCTCTGGCAAACACTGACAGCTCCACAAAAGGCACACTGCTAGCTGGAGACATAAAAAAAGTTAAAAAGGCCTTGTTGAACTTCATGAGGTTCACACAGCCCTACTTCTCCAGCCTGGCCAGATCCCTATGGATCCCATCTCTTCCCTCCAAGTGCATTGACTACACTACGCAGCTTGGTGTCATCAGCAAACTTGCTGAAGGCGCTAGATCCCACTGTCCATGTTGCCGACAAAGATGTTGAACACGATCAGTCCCAACACCAACCCCTGAGGATCACCACTCGTCACTGACCTCCACACAGATAGTGAGCTGTTAACCGCAAGTCTCTGCGTGTGGCCATCCAGCCAATTCCTCATCTACTGAGTAATCCATCCATCCAACTCATGCCTCTCTAGTTTACAGACAAGGATGTTGTGCAGCTCGCACATGTCCAGATAGATGATGTCAGTCACTCTTCCCTTATCCACTAATGCTGTGGCCCATCACAGAAGGTCACCAGATTTGTCAGGCATTATTTGCTCGTACTGAAGCCATGTTGGCTTTCATCAGTCACTTTCTTATTTCCCATGTATGTGCACAGCTTCCAAGAGGATCCACTCCATGATCTTACCAGCCAAAAGGCAAGACTGACTGGTCTGTAGTTCCTTGGGTCTTCCTCTTATTGCCTTTTTAAATATGGGGGTTATGTTTCCCCTCTTCCAGTTAGAGGAACTCCAGACTGCCACAGCTTCTCCAATGTGATGGATAATGGCTTAGCAACTTCATCTGCCAGTTCTATCAGGACTTGCAGCTGCATCTCATCAGGTCCCAGGGACTTATACACCTTCAGGTTCCTTATCATGATCTCAAGCCTTATCTTCTCCTACAGCAGGAGTTCTTCATTTTTCCAGTCCCTGACTTTGCCTTCTGTGACTTGGGTGGTGTGGCTGGAGCTCTTGCCAGTGAAGGCAGAGGCAAAAAAGTCACTGAGTACCTCAGCCTTCTCCATGTCTCAGGTGACCAAGTCTCCCTGTTCCTTCCAGAGGGCCTACATTTTCCCTTGCCTTCCTTTTACCCCTGATGTACACATAGAAGTAAACAGCACCTAGATGGACTCAGGACCAAATTCTATGAGGGAACACACCTAGAAGAGTCATCACCAAAAGTAAGCAGGCAGTTTGCTTTCTGATAGCTGTATTACTGCAATAATTTAATAGCGCTGCATTTGACGATGCAAAGAAGCATAATTATTGTATACCAAAGCTTGAAATCCAGACCACAAACAATCCTACTATAGATCCAAAACACCTTTGTCAGGGGTGATAAACGAGATTCAGTTTGTCTACCAAAACAACCTGTTTGGGTATCCACTGGACGTGCTGGAATGCCATTACCTGAGGCCTCAGCCAAGTGCATTACCCCAAGCAGAGCTGCTGAGGAGCTGAACCAGGTAGAATGTTGTACTGCACATACTTCCACTCCTCTGTTCCAGCCAAACAGCTCACCTGAAGCCAACCTGTCTCTTCAGTATCATACAAAAGCAGGGATACATACAGTGTATTTTAATTTTGCTGACTCTGTATTTCATACAGCATGTCAAACCACAGGGCCTCACAACTCAAATGGAACTCAGCAAAGGGAATCAAAGACGAACATGGAGACGCAGGTTTCTTTTTGAATCAGTGAAGGTCTGCCTAACAGAACAGGTGCCTGTTCCTAGGGTACCGAGTACTGTGATCATCTTGCTGTTCTAGAAAGGATCTTCAAAGCATTAGGGAAGCATTAAGTACTCTCTCATAAAAATGAGTATCACAAGCTAAGGAAGTCTGATTTGAAAGGATGTGTCCTTCAAGCCTGTGTATCTCACTGAAATAAAACAATTTGATCTATTAAACTACTAGCTTTCTACTAGATATTTAAGCAAATACATCTTTGTCTATAGCTAAGCACAATGCAGTTTTAGACAAGAATTACTGTAACTCCATTTTAAAATTAAAACCACACAGCACCCCAAGTGCTTTACAGTATCAGTTAAGCTGCTCATAGTCCACTGCTTCTTACAGCAGGGTGTGAAAAGGACAGCCCAACAATCCCAGTTGTTCCCAGTAACCCTGATGTCTGCATGGGCTTTTCTAAAGTCTTATAACATTTGCTGGTCCATGCAACTGGACTGAAGAATAGAACAGAAATTCTTGGTCTGCAGGCCTGGCACTTGCAAGTTCTAGCATCTGTACCTTCTAATAAAAGATAACTCATAATCATTCTGTATTTTATAATGGCAGAGAGCACAGAAAAATTTCATGAATTACCAACAAACTTTACACACTCCTGCTCTGTAAACCTTCACTCTTTCAGATCCCATACCCTCTATCAGCCAGTTTGTGCTGGTTCTGGTTGGGATAGAGTTAACTTTCATCATCAGAGTTAGTATGGGCTGTGTTTTGGATTTGTGCTGGAAATGGCATTGATCACGCAGGGATGTTTTAGTTACTGCTAAGCAGCAGTACACAGCATCAAGGGCTGTTCTGCTCCTCACCCCACCAGTGAGGAGGCTGAGGGTTCACAAGGAGTTGGGAGGGGACACAGCCAGGACAGCTGATGCCAACAGACCCAAGGGATATTCCAGACCATGTAGTGTCATGCTCAGCCTATAAAGCTGGGGGAAGAGAAGGAGGAGGGGGACATTGGAAATGATGGTATTTGTCTTCCCAAGTCACCGTTAGACATGATGGAGCCCTACTCTCCTCAAGATGGCTGACTGCCTGCCTGCAATGGGAAGTGGTGAAGGAATTACTTTGTTCTGCTTTGCTTGTGCATGTGGCTTTTGCTTTACCCTTTAAACTGCCTTTATCCACCCCATGAGTTTTCTCCCTTTTACTTTGCCAATTCTCTCCTCCATCCAGCTGTGGGGAGTGAGTGGTGCTGTGGGGCTGAGCTGTGTATGGGGTTAAACTACAGCACAGCTTCTAACACATGCCGGCATCTTTTGCAAGAGTGACACTTGAGAGTTGTACTGGACTGCAGACTCCAGTATTGACATGCATTGTTCTCGAAGACTCATAGTAGTACTGAATTTACAATAACTCTAAAGCAAATTAACACATATCAATGTTCTTAAACAGTTAAGTTCAAAAGCGGAAGTACACTCATCCCCCTGGCGTTTCGTTACTTGAGTGTACTCATCATGGCTGAGGTACTAACGGTGTGACCTCATGAAATCCATTTTCATGAACACTCACCTGAGGAGCTGGAAGCAGCACCAGGAGAGAAAGTCTTGTTGTTGCGAAGGGCAGACTGATTTCGTGCACAACCCGGACTCCTGGTGCTGATGGCAATCACCTTCCCTGGAGGAGTCAGTGACTGCTCCTCCTGAGCAGGCTTTATAGGTGACGTGGCAATAGAGCTCATCTCAGGCATCTGAAAATAAACACACATGACATGAATATTGTGTGCTGCTGCAAAAAATACACCATTAAACTCATCCTAGTTAGGAAGCTAAGGAAAAAAAACCCCAAAACAGAAACATAATCTGACAGACTACGGTATCTTTAAGCACTCTAACCAATACCTCCAGGTGTGTGTGTGGGCAGCTGTAATTCCCTTCCTGTGTATTTAGCAGTCTTAAACAACATCAGTTTAGTATCATTAATTTATGTTAGAAGGGGTTGACATTCAACAAGCTTCACAGAGTGCTGGAAAACCGAGACAAAAGAAAAAAAAGAAGGTAAAGATGGAGATTTGTCAGTAATGGAAGAGGTGCTGGGTTTAGTCATTAGATTTTCATAACCATCACCACCCAGAGGGCTCCTCTGGGTGGAAGGAGACCTGGACTGAGATATTTTGCTCTTAATACTAGTCATGCATGCAGAGACCAATAGTTTTTGGTGGGTTTTTTTCCATCCTTTTTCCTATTCACACTGCAATACAGCAATAACAAGAGACACATGGCAAGGTGCTTTACTAATTTTCCAGGCTATCCAGTTATTTCATTAAATTGTTCAAGTACTTTTCTAGAAAATGTTCCTCTTTTAAGGAACCTATGTACAATCACAGGTACAAAATCACCACCCACACTTGACTGCAGTGCTATTTGCTACAGTTTGTTGTAATGTTCATTTAAAGGATGAACAACAGCATACTCGGCCACTTTGGCTCTGCTAGGTATTATCTTGAGAAAATAGCAGGGACATGGACAATCAACCCTTCTTTGCTCAAGTACCCTGTGGCAAAAATATTATGGTTCCTGTCATTATGTGATGAAATGCAGAGGATTTAAGACACAAAACTTTCAAAGTCTACAGTGCTTTCAATTAGGCAGAAAACATCATCGTCTCTCGAACACGTTATCAGTGCCAAGACATACACTGTCACAAAAACTCTTTTTCTGAAACACAGCAAGTATTACATGGTATTTGACAAACCAAAGGTTACATTACCTTCTTCTTACTGGAATGCATACTATGGTATGTAGCTGAGAGAGCCCCTGGATTTTTCAGTAGTACTACCCGACTTTAAGACACTAAGAGCACTAAAGGGACAGTAAAACACTTGCAAATAAGAACTAGTGGGTTTTCCTCCTCTCCTATCCCTCTCCCTGCCCAGTCTAAGGCGATGTCCTTCCTTCTAATTTGTGATTGTTTAATCACGTCATCCCTGGCTGTTACGTGTCACCAGAAGTAAAAGTAGATGCCAAAAGAGGAGATCTTGTCACAGATCGATGAGATGTCAAACCAAAGGGGACATAATGACAAAACAAGGGGTAATGGCTTTAAACCAACAGAGGGGAGATGGAGATGAGCTCTTAGGCAGAAGCTCTTCCCTGTGAGGGTGCTGAGGCGCTGGCACAGGTTGCCCAGAGAAGCTGTGGCTGCCCCATCCCTGGCAGTGTTCAAGGCCAGGCTGGACGGGGCTTGGAGCAACCTGCTCTAGTGGAAGGTGTCCCTGCCCGTGGCAGGGGGTTGGCACTGGATGAGCTTTAAAGTCCCTTCCAACCCAAACCATTCCATGAGTCTATGAAAACTCTTTACAGTTTAAACAAAGTCTGTATCTGAGCAAAGATGGTTCTGAACTGTCATCATCATTATTACTATATTTTACTTTATTTCAACTCTTAATCTGTTCTTATCTTGACCCACAGCTTTTTATCTTTATTTTTTTCCCCGATTCTCCTTCCCACCACACATGGGCAGGGTGGGTGGGTAGGAGCAACTGGGGTTAAGCCACATCAAACAACAAAGGAAGATCAAAAGAACTAGGTGTGTCTGGGAGTAGTAGTACCTTTGCATCCTATGCTAGAATAGGATGCAAATGGCATCTTTCACTCATCACATCTCCATCACAGGCATTCAGCCAGATGTGCTGAACTTCCACTAGACCAGGTTGCTCCAAGCCCCATCCAACCTGGCCTTGAACACTACCAGGGATGGGGCAGCCACAGCTTCTCTGGGCAACCTGTGCCAGCGCCTCACCACCCTCACAGGGAAGAACTTCTGCCTAAGAGCTCATCTCAATCTCCCATCAGGCAGGTTAAAGCCATTCCCTCGTCCTGTCCCTACAGGCCCTTGTCCAAAGCCCCTCTCCAGTTTTCCTGTAGCCCCTTTAGGCACTGGAAGCTGCTCTGAAGTCCCCCCAGAGCCTTCTCTTCTTGAGATCTTAAACACAAAAGGCTACAACACAAAAGGAGGAAAGCAAGTTCCTTCCCACTTGTCTGCCTGAGGAAGAAGGTATTTTTCTGGGTCTGATAAACAACTATCCTAGAGTCAGGGAACTGCTACAAAAGCCACTGTGGCAGGCTAGCCCAAAGAAATAAATTCTTTTTACACACACAGTGTAACTTGAACTACATGAATGGTGAAAATTAAGAGTTGCAGTTTTCACATGGGATATTAATCTCATGAAGGCTCCCTCTGCCATCTAGGATCCATTTCCCACAAAAGCTTGGACCAGATTATCTTCCAAAGTTCCTTCCAGCCTGGGCTATTCTGTGGCTCTATGAACCTGAGAGAGAATAGAAGACACCTACCTAAGCTAACCTCATGACTGATCTTTTCAGGAGTCACATTAAATGTTCATTATAATACCACTGAGACTCAGAGGAAACCAGAAACTAAAAGTCCATGTAAAAACCAAATGCAGCATATTGAGGAAAAGTCCACTCTGTAGCAAGTGGGCTGTGGTTTGGTTGGGTTTGTTTATTTTGGTTCGGGTTTCTTTGTGTTAGTTTGGTGGAGTTTTTTAAACAGGAATATTCCAAGATCTTGACAAGACTGATCACTGACTAACTGTGAAAACATGACTGGGCAACTGTTCCCCAGATCAAGTAAGAGTTTAGCAGCTGGTGGATGAACAAGAGTTACTTACTGGTTTGGGATTGACTTCAGTTGAGATGAGTTTTAAAAGGCAGCTCAGGAGTCTCTGCTTGTGAAAAGTGGGACATGCAGGAGCAGCACTTGATTCAGATGTTTGCTCCCTAGCATCCTGGGTTTCTGGCTCCAAGACAGCCAACCAGTCATATTCCAGCTGCAATTTGTTCGGTTTGCCCATCATGAGGTAGACTTCAGCCAGTGTAAGGCTCTCAGAAGTTCGTAGACTCCATCCTTCTTCTCTAACCTGTTGAGAGAGCCGGCTTGGGTCATCCTTGAGAGACTTTGTACTAGATTGTCCCTGAGGTGGAGGTGGAAACAAGGAGCCCAGCTTCTCTTGAGAATCCTCCATGACTGTATCTGTTATATCCTTGGTACAAGCATCAAGCTGCTGGCCCTGGCTGTGGCTAGCCTGAGTTTCATATCTGGATGCGCCACTGCTGGGTGAAGCCACACCACCTCTTGGTAGCTGTGAATAGGAGTCAGAGGTCTCTGTGCTCCTCCCACCTGGAAAAACCCCAGTAGAAGTATCACCAGCTGCTAGAGTAGAGTCTTTCCCATGCAGTTTGTCTGTGCAACAACATTTCTCTGGGACGATCAGGTCCTGACAGGACTTCATGTACCGTGGAAATGGATCGAGCAGAGAGAGTTCCTCCACATCAGGAATCTTACTGCAAGCACAAGCTGTGCTGCACGATGGTAGCACAGTTGCTTGGTCACTCGCCAAGGCCTCCCTGCCCTCCACAGAGAAGGCCACTGAGCTCAGCTTTTCATGGTTCCCTCCTGGATCTTGAAGTCCAGAAGGCATTTTTTGGAGAGAATTAGTGATGCCAAGATTCGAGGTTGTTCCTTCCACCAGGCCAGGCTCCAAGGCCCCATCTTCAGTGCTTGCAGAAAGTTCAGCTATGGGCTGAGAGATTCTGCTTGACTCTACAGTGCTCTCTGCCCTTCCAACACCCTTACCTTCTGTTCCCCGTGGGTATTTTAGCTGTCCCCTTGCTGTCCCCTGACCACTCTGTATGCCTAGGATTTGTGCAGGGGGTAGTAAGTGAGAGTCTTTTGTGTTTTGTTTGCATTTGCCAGTTTCCTGCCAATGCACTGTGCAGAAAGCCTTGGAGTGGACCACTCTGGCTACTCCAGGCAGGGGAGTGAGTGTACAATTCTCTCCTGGAAAGAGATGGAGCATCACTTTCTCCTCTGAGAAGCTGCCTCTTGTTTCTGAGTCTCTGGAGTCTTGAAGTTGCCGTTCTTCTAGTGTTTTACGCTAAAAGAGATGTGTCAAAGAATACAACAATCAACTGCCCCCTCCAAAGAAGCACCTGGGCACCTATTTTGCAAGTTAAAAAACAAAACAAAACAAAACCACAAACAAATATCTGCTCAGTGATATGTTCTCTATTCAGCATAGCTATCAAGACTCTCTGATCAGAAATTAAGTCCTTTTGTGGTGAGAAAGACTGCACTAAAGACTTGATATAGCCACAAACTAAATCTCTATTCCAGACAAAATTACTGATCTCTGCTTCACACACCACTCTAATCGTGTAAAAAAAAAAAAAAAAAAAAAAAAAAAAAAATCTTAACCAACTATCGAACCCCAACAGAACCAAGCAGAAAACTCCAGTGTTCACTGCACAGGAAACCAGACTCCCCTCCTGTGCAGTGACCTCCATCTGACACAATTTGACACCATTCTGCTACTTCTTCCAGCCTCAGAAATTAAAAAGCAGAGAAAGGATACAATACGCACTTCATGGAGAGCCCACTTCTGCTTCAGGAACTCAATGAGGCTGGAGACCTTCCGATGCAACTCCACAATCATCCTGTATGCAAGATTAACAAAGCAAGGGAACAGAAGAAATATCAGCTGAAGTTCAAATCACAGCCTTGATGCTAGAATGGGAATTCAGGGAAGAAACTGACATTCTGGAATACAAGCCCAGAGAACATACCCACTGCTCCCAAGCTCTGCAAAAAATCCAAGAAAAACAAAAAACATTTTATCACACAACTTTAAAATCTGGATAACCCACAACTAAGAAAGATCTAAAAGCCTACTGGATAAATCTGATTGCCATGATTCAAGATACTAGTTTCTCCAGATGGAAGAAGATAGAAAAAATGGTGAGATTTGGTTAAACTGCAGAAGTGCAAGCAAGGTCCAAAGCAACAACGTGGCGTACAGAAAGAAAGAGAAAAAGTGGCATAAAAACCCCCCAAACGTTTAATCTTTGCTCTCAAAGCATTTTACAAAATAAACCTAATGCTAATAACTTTCATTCTCCTCTCTGCCTGATCTTTGCTCTTTACACTGAAGTCCTAAATCAACATCATAGAGGCCTCATGTTTTCTGCTCTGAGTTCTGGACTAGATTTAAATACAAGGATGAGCAGCCACTGATGACAAACAACAGCACCAACTACATTTTGCAGGACAGAGATTATGCTACAAATACATTCCTTTCTGCTAGTTCCACCTAAACCAATGAGTCTTGGTGTAGGCACCTCTCACTATTGTTTTACTTTCCTGTGCCTCTGTCTCATGGAACATTCAATACAGATTTTACTAGAATTAGTGCTGCTTATCTCCAGCTTACTTGCACTGTGCTCTGACAAGTGGGTGTAAATGGCACAAAGTAAATTCACCTCCAACTCCACTAGCTCCTATAATTACTCAGAAGATACAAAGAACAATGCAATCTGATTTGCAAGTCTGGTATCTCATGTTTATAACAACTGTGTACTCTTCAGGACAAGTACATTTAGGCAAACTACATTCTCAAAGTTGAACTGCCCAGTTAGCAAAGAGAACCCTGAAGAGAGAGGAAGAAGCTAGAATGCTGCTTGTATATCTCCTTGTTCTGAGCACCACCATTTCTTCATTACCTAAGCCGTGGATTCTGGGCAAGACTCTGTACTCGTGCCCACGCATGATTATTTCGTGGCTGCAACTCCACAGGGACCTTGAGAGGCAGACGTACTGGCTTCTGGTCCTCTTCATCACTTACACCTGAGGGAGATGAAGCACAAAGAGCACGGGTCAAAGCAAGGACAACACACTCAGAACACTATGCTCATTTGCATGGAAAAAAAAGCATCACAGACATCAGTATCACCTCCAGACAACCAAGGCAGCTCAGATTCACCAGTGGAGCCTGCTTCCCTAGACTACATCCTATTCCAATACGTTTATTTTTTTATCCTGGACACTGCAGGGGACTCAAGTACCACTGCAGTACACTGGTACTGGAGCTTCCAATTGAGCAAGCAGTGTAAAAATCAGGTGACTGAAAACTTTGAACAAGTACACTATTTCAGACTTTTAAACTGCATTGATTCTACTCACTGGGGAAAAGGGAGGAAAAAATAATTTAAAAAAAAAATCATATATACCTGAACTGGAGAAGGTAAGAAAAAAAAAAAAAAGTCAAAAATGCTCAATGCTAAACCACATACTACTGCTCATTCACTGGCATAGGGGACTAAACTTTACATATAGTGAAAGCACAACTGGTAGAGCAGTAGTGATCTCATCTGGTGTAGCTATTTCCTTTTCAATTTAGCTAGTGACATACTCCAAGATTAAAGAGCTGGGTTTTTCCTGAAGTTATTGGGATTATACAAGCAAACAGGCTATGTAAGGCAAGAAGGACATATCCCTAACACAAATGGGAAATAGCTCGAATCCCCCACCACCAGCGCTGGACACTTCAGAACAGCCCTATTGTCTCTCTCATTTTCTTCTGCTCATCTGTTAAAACCATTTCATGTCCCAGCATCTCTTACCATCTGGATCACAGAGTTTCTTCAAAGCCCTGCACATTGGAGCTTTGATACGAAGGTTTCTGCCTTTGTAACGAACAGTCGTAGCCCTGAATATATTGAAAGAGAAGTAACTTACAGGCACCGTTAACAAAAGTTTGTGAATACAAACACGACAGGGACACTGAGTCAAATATGATCACAGCTATAGCAATAACCAAATGAATTGAAGGGTTTGCAGTGCAGATTCACAAAAGCATTCAATCTTTTCTATCACCTTCCTTTTAATTCTAGAAATGCTACTCTTGTGACCCTCCTCTTCCAGACTTTTAGGAAACACACGGCTGCCTGCTCAGATCTGCTATTTAGAAAGCAGACCAGAATTACATTACTTCAGTTCAACACTACCCTCAGAGACAGCTTCTTCCTAAAAGACAAGTGGTTTTGCTTTAGTCTTCTCTTTATACTCCAAACTCTTTATTATGGGAAGAAAAAGTCTAAAGTTTCTGCAGTGTCTTCCATTCTGCAATATCAACACCACATCCATTGCAGAAATGAGGTCTAAGAACTTGTGACAGAATCTGAACGAAGTAACTTCTACAGTATGATTTTGTTGGCTTTTAACTTCAATACCACATAAAAGCAAGACATTTCCTGGGTTTGTGCAGTGGAACTATTTGATTTCTTCACTCACTCAGCCCTGCTTTCCTTTTAGGGACTTAGAAGGCAGGCATTGAGACCAAAGTCACTGATGGCTGTATTTACTACTTAATACTTCAAGTAGGAAGAATCAGCATACAATCAACAGGACTGAACACAAGTCCTTGCAGATAAAATGAAAGAAATTATGAGGGATATTCCTACAGCAGGATCTTCCCCCCCGCCCCATGTTATAAGGAAGACAATATGAGGCAGAAAGAGCACTTGCCTATACTGCTAAGAGGGAAATTCACAAAATGGCAGCAGAAGAGAAGCCAGACCTAAGATTGAGATGACCACACCTGAAAGAAATGTGCTGGGTATTGAAAAAAGAACTGCTTACAGAGAGGGGGATCATAGAACTGAGCAAAGTGGAAAGTTCAATCTAGTGGGATATATGCAATGTGTTTGCTTGTATGAGATGTCAGGCTGCCCTCCATGTGCAGGGGATTAATTCAGAAGGTGTAGACATCCAGGTGGTAACAAAGAGGAAGATGTAAACTGTTTCCCTGCAGAGTTTGCACCTCTTGGTCTGACAAGGTTTATCTACCAAACAGGTTAAGAAATGCAGAAGAAAAAGGGTAGCAGAGATGTACCTCCCATCTCGAAGACAAAAAGCTTATGCAAGAGTTCTGAACTTCCCAAGAATGTTAATACTGACATTCTTGGTTAGAAGATGAGAATTAATATTTTCATATGCAGAAACTCCTGTTTTCAAAATGATTTGTTACAAGACTGGCTTTAGAATAAACACATAGACTTCATAAAAATCATTAGCCCTCATTAACAATTAATTAGAAGTAAGGCCTTAATCATGCCAAGTGCTAGACTGATGCTACAGCTAGCTAAAAGTCATCAGTCTCATTAATTATGGTTTAGTCTATTTGGATAACACAGTATTAGAAAGGCTTTCCAGTACAACAAAGAGAACAAAATGACTACTCATATATGAACTCCAGAGATGCCCAGGACACAGGGGAAAAAGGATCATCCTGGGCCCATTTTAACTGGTAACTCCAATTTAAAGAAGTAATTTGCTTTAAGAATTATTTCTTTGTATGGAAAAATTTACTGCTAAGATTGTCTTAAATGTATAAAACCCAATCCAAATGGCAATTTCTCTTCTAATTCAAAATGTCAGTTAACAGAAATATGAACAAGTGATTCCATAAACATACCCAAGCTCTGTACTGCAGCAGCACACTGCGCAAAGTGCATCTCCCAGGAGAGGAAAGGTTACTAAACTGTATGGAACTCATTTGGAAACTCAGTTTCCAAACAACAGAAAGGCACAATAGCAACTCTCCATTTTATACAAGGTAAAGGCAAAACATCAGCAACTGCTGAGTGGGCAAATTCCTTCTCCTCTGACAATAAACTTTACTTCACCAATAATTTGTCTGCTATAATGAAGCAGCCTGAAAGCACAAATGCTAAAAAGGGTCCGCAGCCAACAGAAAATAGTACTATTTTCAAATTGATTTTCAAGATTCACTTAGGACAAACCAATGCCTGCTGAGTGATACCTGCCTAATGGTCACACCACTTCAAGTAATATCTATTTCACACAAGTTCTAATAGTACAGCAGCTTCTATCCCCTTCCATATTCCCAATGTACACTGCCAAGACTGAACCCTGCAATCCCATAATTCTTTCTTGAAGTTAAAGAGAATACTCTTAGGGAAGAGTATTCACAGTAAAGAGAGGAAAAACACCATACAAAACAAACAAAGAATGGAAAAGGTCAATCTGCAGCTCTAAAGTAAGAAACGCCTCCTAGACTCTGGATGACCAACTCAACAGTCCAGCTGCTGAACAACCCAGTTTTAAGAGTTTCAGGAATAAGTTCTTACTTACCCGGCTTGAATGAGCTCGTTGAGTTTCACTGCATTCTTGTCATCCATACCTTGAGACAACACAGTGAATTAGGATTTGAAGTGATACAGTCATGGCCTTTTTAGTGCTCTTATCAGTTTTCAAGCTATTACATTTTGTGCTCACATAGGATTAATGTGCATAAATATGCTGTAACACATGCTGAAAAGTTTCTATTTTCATAAGGTGCAAGATTTACACGAACCTTGCCACGAAAATTACATTTTACTTATGGATTAAATAACCCTAGTTTGGGTGCTGGGCATTAATACAGCATATTACATAATACAGTCATCTTGGGTTGCTGGGCATTAATCTGAAACCGCAGTATTAAAAAGAGAAGCTTCCTCATCTTCCTGCTCAATCTCTGTTGCTAAGGAAGCACAGTGTAACGGAAGAGCATCAAGCTCTCAGTGTTGAAAGCAATAAAAGAAGTAAATAAAAATAATAAAAAGCACATGTAATTCTTTTACACTTTTACATTTTTAAATGGACATAATGGGAACTTGATTTATAGTCCGGCTCAAATCTAATTACAGAAGAATTAACCTCCCTCTAGCAATGCTGAAAGTGTTCCCGATATGCTTGTGTGTCTCAGTAGCTCTACATAAGTTATCTCAATTTCTGGGAAGATGGGATTAGGTGAGTATCACGAGAGGGAAAAGGAGAGACAAAAGAGGGGAACAAACTACTTTCACCAACTGCAGAGCAGACCTCTCAAACCTCTGCTCTGAAGACAGGCTGAGAGAGCTGGGCTTGTTCAGCCTGGAGAAGAAAAGGTTCTTGGGGAGACCTCACAGCAGCTTCCAGTACGTAAAGGGGCTACAAGAAACCTGGAGAGGGGCTTTGAACAATGGCCTGTAGGGACAGGACAAGGGGGGATGGCTTTAACATGAAAGAGGGGAGATTGAGATGAGATCTTAGGCAGAAACTCTTTCCTGTGAGGGTGGTGAGGCGCTGGCACAGGTTGCCTGGAAAAGCTGTGGGTGCCTCATCCCTGGCAGTATCCAAGGCCGGGTTAAACAGGGCTTGGAGCAGCCTGGTCTAGTGGAAGGTGTCCTTACCCACTGCAGGAGCGGTGGACTAGGTGACCTTTAAAAGGTCCCTCCCAGCCTAAACTGTTCTATGATTCTATGAACATGGTACTAAGCGTAAGCGAGATACCTTACTAATGCAGCTAATCAACGTGCAGAAAATGGAGTAGCATTGGTACAGCAGATACTCATCTGTCTACACTCTTCCTTACAGACAAAAGTAGTGTCCAGGATTAACAAGGTCAGATCGCGTCTTGGTCAGCCAGTAAGGTTATTTCTGATTATGCTTTGCAATGATCTTTCACCTTCAGGGTTCAACAAGTAAAGATTTAGAGAATGACTTAGACAAAGGCACCATCCCAGATTTTGATTGCATAGGCAGAAATAACTTCGGGTGCAAATAAGATCATTTACACATTTAATTGCTTTGTTTTCAAGAATAAAACAGAGAGACAACCTGAGCTGCACAGACTTTTACCCATCTTCTGTGGGTATTACATGCACTGTATCCCACAGACAGCAAAAGCTAAAGAAATCTTTTAAAGAAAAAGGAGACTAATGCAACAGACTCAGGTGGTCTTTAAAAATACAAATACATTTAATGAAAAGATACAACAGATCACAGCAACAGAATACAATGACCACAAACTCTGAGCAACTCAAAAGTGAAACTGTATTAGACATTGCCAGCTTCAAGGGTAGTCACTTGAAATTCTACCGTATAAACACAATTTTAAGTCATTCATACTCACATCCCCCAATCTTTTTCCTCAGTTCCCCATAGCAGATTAAGCCATAAAGCTCCAGGGAGGATTTTTTCAGCCCTTGAGAAAACACTGGAAAGCAGAAAAGGTGGAAGTGAGATACAGACTGCAGATACCCATTTCAACACTGAAAATGAGATGTTTTGTATTTTCAGTGAGACAAACATCTCATGGAAGGCCAGACTGAGTTCCATTTCAAGAAACACCATAATGAGACAAATTCAACAATTTCCTTTTGGTGACTTAAATACCTGGGCAATACAACATTTTTTAGATTACAGAAAAACAAAGATGCTTCCACAGGATATAAACAAATATGCAACAATTCAATATGCAAGATAAAGCTAATTCATAATAAAGCTAACTCTGGCACTGCTTAACTGTTTATGATTTCTAAAGGAGATGCCCCAGATGCCCCCACAAAAACACATACAGAACTCTTTCTTCTACGAAAATTAAGAAGCAGGTGTGAATTTTCCAGAAGACAAAGTATGTTTCTGTGCACATGAATGCACTGTAGAGATTGAATGGAAGTTCTAGATTCTAAATTTTTATATGAAGAGTTGCACACATTGTATTCAACCTTACAAGGTTTTTTTGTCCTGTCTCATCAACACAGATGTGGACATTATTATTGCTAATAGATCTAAATGCCTATGACAACATGGAAAGACAGTCTTGCGGTTTACAAAAGGGGTTAGAATATCCACTCGTATCTATTCATCAAGAACTCGGTTCTCTGACTTGCAGACTCATTTGATCTCAAAACCCAGGTACACACACTACTACCAATACTAAGGCTAATACTAAGCTCTTGTACTAATTCTAAAATTCCTTCAGCCAATGACTTCTCAGACCTTACAGGTATAGTAACAGAACTTCACATTATCTGGAAAACAGATTTAAGATCTCCCATGACTTTTTTTTTTTTTTAAAGTTCTTCCATACTGTATTTGCTGTAACATTTGTTTTTAAACAAAATACTAATGGGTTCTTTAATCTTAAAATACTACCTTGCTTTAAAAAAGGAACTCCAAAATTCATGTTCTGAAAGGTGTTTTACGTGTGTAAGTCCTCATTTACATCCTAGTCCACCTAAATCTCAGGAACAGACAAAACCATTTCATAAAAGAGACTGTATCATACATATCTTTACTCTCTTTCAGCTTTTTTCAAGTCATCTCCATTTCTCATTAATGAGTTCTTTTTAACTGGAGAGGGTCTGGCCACAAATCACATAGATGAATACACTACCCCAACTTTTGCAGATGTTAGGGTGTTGTATAAAGACCAGAAAATTCAACCACCATGAAACTGCCATGATTTATGCAACTTAGAAAACAGCATCCTAAGTACAAGAAAGCCCTGGAGACCTTTACTTAATCAACAAGCTAACAAGAGAACTGACATTCTTCATACCTTAAAAATAAAAAAACTGGATCATAGTAAAATCTGTTCACTCTGAAATAGATTTCTTTAACCCATTATTCAGATGAGGCTACCCACAAACTGACTTGAATTCTCACTGCCCGTTACTGAATAGGACAAATTTGATAAAAATCCATTGTCAGTGATCATACATTAATATTACTGTTACAAACCACCACTAGCAGTACATATGAATTCTAAACTATGTTTTCCCAGGGAAGGAGAAAAGAGGGGAATATGGCTCGATGAAGTCATGCCTGACTAACATTTAGGCAGCTGTCCTCAAAGGTGTGTTCCTGAGGAGGAAAAAAACCCATTATTTCCTTGAATCTGGCTTGTCCCCAGTATTAATGGTAGGATCAGTATTTATTGTGGTGTATTCATTTAAAAGCAGTGATACAAATACTAGTTTTTGCATAGCATTTTCCAAAACCCATGAATCTCCGTATGGTTACACTGATGAAAACACATGTTCACAGACATCCTATTCAGTACACATTTTCTGATCTCCAGCATTCCTACTCTCCATGATGGCACTGAAAGGCAGGACTCCAACCCTCACAAGGCTGTAGGCTCTATGCTAAGCCCATGTCATTGCATACTCACCATTATCAAAGTCAATGTACTTGGAGATCTTGTGCCATGTGCGGTAGTAGAAGTGGCGGACCTGTTCCTTATTCTTCACCATGCTTGCTGGTTTGCCCTTCTTCTTGTATTTCAGAGCAATGTTGTTCTGGATAGCCTCAAAGTCCTTCCCATGCTAAATAATAAATAGAACAAATCCAAATACTCAAAACCAAACTTGTATCTTGTAAGACAACACAAACAATGACTTTGGGGGTTCTTCATGGGAAATTAGATTTTGAAGGTCACCAACAAAATCTTGAGTATCAAAACTCAACAGCAAAAGGATTACAGTGGTGTCCTTTATTTTATATAAAGTGCATTTCAGATGCCAAATTAATTACTTTCCAATTTCTTGAACTGTTTCAAAATAAAAACTATAAGCTGCTAGCAAACTTCTTTAAAAAAAAACCAACCCAAACAACTTCACTCATAAATGTGCTGAGCAGCAGAACTGAAAATCCCAACTCTCTCCCTCAGATTTCTTTACTTCTCTATGCATTTTTTCCCTCCTCTCCCTCCTACCTCCATTTCTGACTAGGGTGAATGAAAAGTCTGCAATATTTAACACCTTCACTGCTATTTACAATAAATTTCATGTTCCAGTCATTAGGAGTGTAAAATTTGAGTTTCAAATAATGGAGGAAAATACTCTTTTTTCTTCTTTTTTTTTTTTTTTTTTTTAAATAAAACCTTGTAACAGAAAACACCATTTTACATTGTAGGTCATTCCAAAGTTTATTCTCGGGGTAAAAATAAGACACTTAAGTGTCCCTTTAAAATTAGTTAACTCCTGTAAAATCACTGGAGTTCAAAAGAGGAAAATTTTATTTTATATATAGTATCACTGACCTCCCGCTATCACAAAATTTCTTAGTATCCAAAAGAGGTTGGAATTGATTTAAATACGAAGTGTGAGAACCTCTTTTAAAAGGTAGTAACACAATATGATTGGGAATGGGGGACCACATTTTGGGATGAAGCCCCAGATCCATCTTAGAGAAAAAAAAGTCAGAAGTTTTCTTTGAGTGATGAAGTGATTTAAAAATGACATGATTACCAGGAACATTACTGCAAGTCAGAGCGGCTAAAGAGAGAAAACAGTGGTTTAGAAGCGTTCACTTTTTCCACACAATACATACGCATGAATCATGCCTACCACTAAAAACCATATTTGTAAGAAGATCCACATGCACAGAAAAAAAACCTCACCAGCACTGCTTTTGTTTTCCCCTTTAGTATGTATTTTCATAATAGAAGTGCTCTTAAAATAATCCTAAACAAGGAATACATTGTACATGTCATACAAGATAAAAGACGATGTAACTTCTCCTTGTCTCTCAGCCCTACTACTGAACTGGCTCAAACCTTTCCATGACCAAAGACCAAGCACAGTGCCGACCGTTCTTACTAGAACAGAACATGTTTTCTTGTTTGAGAAAATTACAGCATAAGTGTGTTGCTTTTGAAAGTTGGGATGGGGACACTACACTATATACTTAGTCCTCATTTGAAACAGAACCGTATTTGAAAAATAACTGAAATTATTATAAACATTTATGAATAAAATTCAAATATTTCACAAAAATAAGCTTTTATCACCAGCTGGTTTATAGCCAGCTGTACAAACGCATGTGTGTACAGACACATTTTGCTTGTGCAGATCTCAAATGCATCAACCTTCTCTAGGAATATTCAGATACTATACAAAGCCATCCAAGCATGTTATTGTACCTCATACAGTCCTTCGAAGAAAGTATTTTTGTCCTCTGTGCTCCATGATTCCCACTGTCTCCTGACCTTCTTTCCTTCCTCCTTCTCTCCCGCTGAGGACCCTAGGTTCCTTGCTGCTGACTTGGAATTCCCAGCAGGATTGCTGGGAGGAATTCCTGATGTGCCACCAGATGCAGTCCCTCCATTATCTGTACCTGCAAAAATGGATGACCAGAATGAACATTAAACCAAGAAGATGGCTCATGGGTAGAGGTAAGTGAGGAACTCGGAATTTCCTCCTTCTTCATCACTCCCTTCTATCACCTGAAATAGAATTTTTTTGTATAACAAGGTTTGTATTAAAGAAATAAAATCTCAAAGAGCAAAAAACAAGGGGAAGGCTTCGATGGCAAATGTAAAGACAGGTAAGCAGGAATATACCAAAGCAACCTCTAAAAGACATCATATACTCTGATGCTTACACAATGGTGTGCTCAAAGTTGCCCCTTTGCAGCTGAGGGGAACTTCTGAGTGATGCTGAACATGGATGCGACAATAAAGCAAATTAATGACCAGGAGAAAACAGATGGAATTTCACATCCTTGTCTTTGGTCTTGATCCTACTGCCTCCAAAGTAACTGTGGTAACAAAAGGACTGAAACACGTCCACTGAAGTTCATCACATGACAATGGATGAGACAGCTCAAGAGCCTGATCCTCAGTGTGAAGAGCACCACCTCAGACACTGAGCTCATCTAAGACAGCTGAAGGTATCCCAGAGATAGGGATACCTTGAGTTGTCCCCAACCCCTTCTCCTTCCCTTGAACATCTCCAGCCTCCACCCCTTTTGTCCCCAAATCATGGTGGCACTTTTGAAAAAAGGCACAAAAGTGTCATCTTGATTGTACCTTTGTCAGTTATCAGCAGCCAAGGAACAGAGATCAGAAAAAAAAAAACCACCAAATCCCAAAGACTGGAAACACTGGAATGAGAATAAAGTCTGATGGAACCAAGAGAATCTGTTGTTTATGCAAGTAGGGCATGGGGAAGAAAATGGGATAGAGAAACTGCAGGAAGGCAAGAGCCACATCTACTGCTGGAAGATTCCATTCTCTCACCTTGATTCAGATTCCTCCTTTTTTTTTTTTTAAAGTACCTCTGAAACTATTAGTCTTTCAAAAGACATTTTGATCAGCAAAAACATTAGCAACTAACCTTAAACCTGTGATCAGAACAGAAATCAAACCAAACATTATACTTGGCTGACACTGTAAAAGATTATCAGAATGTTAATCTCAGTTATAGCCCTTTATAAAACAGAAAATACAAACTAAGGCCAGCCAATTATTTGCTTATAAATACAGGTTGTACAATACAGCAGTCCCAACTAGTTTCCCAAACATTTTTTACACATTGGCCCAGTTCTATCATATTTAGGCTTAAAATGTTGTTATCTTTTAAAATTCAATTCTGTAAAGCAGTCTGTTTACCTGACAAAGTCAGTGGTTTTATATATATATACATACATATAGATCTCATTCAAGACCCAGGATATCCCAATTTGATAATCCTAGTATTATTAAAAAAATAAGAGTATCAGAAAAATCAACTGTTACAGGCTCACTATGCTTTAGATATTTGAAAGACTTATGTAAATCTGGACTGTAAGTATTCAGTTGCAATTTGAAAATAATTCCTTTGGGTGACAAAACCATATTTCTCCCAATCCTAAAAATCTATTTGTTCAAGTGATGAAGAACATTTGAAATCAAATCTGGAAGACAGTAAGATGCGTGCAAATACACTTTTTTCCCTGCATGCATTAAGTATTTACTTGATAAATAATACAATATTGTGACAATTTTAAGGTTAACGTTTTATTTCTATGAAATGACTATTTGATCCTTTTGAAGAAAATGACTGCCACCACAGGGACGCATGTGAGGCAAAACATGAGAAAGAACTGGACATCTTGGAGAAAAGCAACTTCTCAAATAAATACCTTCTCCATTTCCTAAAGCCTTCATCAGTCACTGATACAGTGCCAGAATTAAAATGCTTAACTTTCAGTCACTGTGAAGGTAAAAGTCCTTAAAATAAAAAGGAAACCATCACAAACCCTGAGCACTTTAACAGATGGCTTAGGAGAAGCCCAACAACTTTAAAAACATAGAATTGCTTCTTTGTTTTGCAAGTGTGGGACTGGAACATCACAATGTGCATGATACAGAAATACAGATCTTAGTATTTAAAATCTTTGGTTGAAAAAGAGGAATTCAAACACATAAATGCTCAACCTCAATCTACATTTGCCTGGTGCTGCTAGTTCCCAATGGAGATGACGTCCTATCCAGGCAATTGTTCAGAGTACTGTAGATGAAGATCTAAAAATTCTAATACCCTGTTACCTCCACAGAGATCTTATATGCCATTTAATTCTTCCAGGAATGAAGTCGTTTGTTCTGTCATTGCTTCACATAAACTTTCTTACTTCTGGGTATGGTAGTGTTTCTCACTGGGTTACCACAATCCACCCTAGAGATCACTGGATCTCAGTAAGGTAGTGGATTGCAGTATACTCTAAAACATGCTATTATAAACCAATTCGGGGTAATGGGCCAAAGTAAAAGTAGTCATACATCATTAAATCACATCCCATAAATTCATTCTTTCAATCTTACTGTATGGGATTCTTGTAACACGCAGAAACACTAACAAGTTTCCATCCTCTCACAAACAATAGATGAGGATGATCATTAATTCCCAACAAGAGATTATTTAAAATTTTAGCAATGCATTAGAACAACAGGGTCCACAGAGGGCAGCCAGACCGTTACCGCTGCAGCACTCCAGGAGAGAGAAAGGAGCCTTGCTCCAACCATCTACATAGGTGCCTGTTCTAAGGAAAATCGTCTCTAGGAGGAGAACACTGCAGATGTGACACAGACAAGACAGCCATTCTCACACTGTCCACCCAGGCACCACACAATTACAGCCACAGCAGCTCCACCCCTTCACTCCACGACACAAGGGAACTCCAGCACATGAGGTGCAACACAGCAAGCCTGGAAACATCAGTTCTCAGCATTTCCACTTGGCCTGGTTTGCAAAGACATCTGTACTGGTATTTGAACTGTAACTCCCAACAAAGTCATAGCTCAGAACACCAATGTTTTAGAAAAACATACTCATTCCTTTTATCCAATTTTCTCTACCCACCTGTATGCCCCATTATCAGAACTTCATTTCTCTGTGAACGGCATAACATCACCTCAAGCTCTACTTTCCGTAGTAAAAGCTGTTGTCTTTGTATTACTAAGCAAAACATGAACACTTGCAAAAATTTATATAAAGGGCTTTAAAGACTACAACAAAAAAAAAAAAAAAACAAAAAAACCCACAAAAACAACTGATATGAAAGTGACAAACACTGCATGGAATCAAATAATAATGTCCCTGATAGCATCAGTGTCTGATCATGGCTACAGCCACAAGAAGTTCTTCCTTCCAGGCTCTACACAGCATCTTAGAGTTTGCTTTTCAACTTTCCGCTGGCAGCTCTTACATGCCAGCCGGTTCCTAACTTCTGTGACAGACTCCACATCCACAGAAGCTGGAATCCACAGAGTAAATCCCAATACACTCATTGAATCACAGAATGGTTAGGGTTGGAAAGGACCTTAAAACCATCTAGTTCCAATCACCCCGCCATGGGCAGGGACACCTCACAATAGACCATGTCACCCAAGGCTCTGTCCAACCTGGCCTTGAACACTACCAGGGATAGAATATTTAACACTTCTTTTGGCCACCTGTGCCAGCGCCTCAGCACCCTCACAGGGAAGAACTTCTTCCTTACATCTAACCTGAACTTTCCCTGTTTTAGTTTGAAGGCATTGCTCCTTGTCCTATTGCTACAGCCCTTAATGAAGAGTCCCTCTCCAGCATCCTTGTAGGCCCCCTTTCAGGTACTGGAAAGCTGCTATGAGGTCTGCACAAGCTTCTCTTCTCCAGGCTGAACAGCCCCAGTGTTCTCAGCCTGTCTTCATACAGGAGGTGCTCTAGGCCCCTTATCGTCCTCGTGGCCTCCTCTGGACTTGCTCCAACAGCTCCATGTCCTTTTTATGTTGAGGACACCAGAACTGTAAACAATATTCCAAGTGGGGTCTCACAAGAGCACAGCTGAGGGGCAGGATCACCTCCTTCGACCTGCTGGTCACACTCCTTTTGATGCAGCCCAGGAGATGGTTGGCTTTCTGAGCTCAGATACACACTGAAGCTGGCACATGTACAGTCTCTCATCATCCAACACCCCCAAGTCCTTCTCTGCAGGGCTGCTCTGAATCTCTTCCCCTCCCAACTTGTAGCTGTGCCTGGGATTGCCCTGACCCAGGTGTAGGACCTTGCATTTTGCATTGCTGAATTTCATGGGTTGGCATGTATCTCAATACGCAGGCTGGTTCTCTTATTGGTGTTCTACAGGGTTAGCTTTCAAGATCTCAGCTTCTTCAGGAGTCACTAGTCAACTGCAGGTGGAACATCCATGAGGGAATACTTTATAAATAAGATAGTACTTTCCCATACTCTTGCATGCCTCAAGCCAAATGCTGAGTGTCAGGACACTGAACTCGCTCCCCAAAGCCCAGGATGCGAATGCCAACTTGTAACATGCCAGAATGTTCTGAAGGAAACCTTCTTTCTTCTCTTTCTTATACAGGAGCCAATGGCAAGGCTGAACTGCACAAGATCCCCTTCAAAAGTGGTTTCACTAAGATTCCCATTTAGAAGGCCCTAACAGAAAGCACCTCTGACTGACTTTTTATTCCCACAAACCTGCATTAGTGCTCAGCAGTCCCATGAAATGTACATCAAAGCACGTGTTGTCAACAGAGCTGGGTAAGCTGCCATCACCTATACTTTCCAGAAAGCTTCACACGCATTCTGTGATCCTCAAACAAGCATTTACTCCTCAACTGCAACAAAAAAGCAATATAGACAAATATCCAAACTTTCTTTCTGATTGCTTGGTAAACAAGACCCATTTCTAGCCACGTATGTTTCTAATGGCAGACACTACATCATCTGCCTCACTGAAGACATGAATCAGGTGATCCCACAGAAAGTGTGTGCTTTAGGAATTTAAGAGAAGCCACTTGCTCTGTGGAAGTACAACCCAACAAAGCTGCAGGCTGGATCCAACTTATTTCTGTTGCCAAGAAATGTAGTTGAGAATAGCATACAGATGAGAGAGGGAGACAGACAGACACATCCCCTGCAAGTCCACATTTCATTCCGAGTACTAACATCATACCCAGAAAACAAGTTTCTACCTTGTGTGCCACCTCAGTAAATAGTTTACCTAAGAAGGGTAAGTCCAGGACAGCTTATACCATATGGCATGGTTACACCATATAGTGCTCTTGTTATGAATCAACATCCTGTTGTGTTTAAAACACAACAGGTAACTGTCCTACAACGATACAGACACCCCATCTTCTTCTATCTCTTATTATTTAGAAGAATTGCACAACCAAGATGTAGTTGAATGTGTTCAAACACACCACCAGTTCTGGAGTCTACAAGAAAACTCAATCCAAGGCTTGCGTTTCTATGGACAGTATGTATTTGATATACCAAATGCAGCACTACCTGAGCTAACCATGCAGAGCTGTAAAAAAATAAACACGGTTTATTATAAATCTGGTTATTTCCACATCTCCAGTAAATCATTGTTCTCTCACCCTTCCATTAGAAAATGCTCATAAAGCCTCCTACGAGGTTCCACCTAAACCACATGGCTGTGCAGCCCTGTGGGCAGGCACCTTTTGAAGTTCAGCAGCTACTGCACAGGGCACATGGAAAAATCCTCCTCTTGTGGTATGGGATGAGATACTGAGGAGTTTTGGTCCTGAGCCACTTTCAAAGGGAGGGAGGGAAAAAGTGGGGTACACAGGAAGGCAAAAAATGAAAGAAAAATGCGTCAGGATGGGATGGAAGGAGAAACACCAAATGTAAATGAGACTGACAGAATTAAGGAGAACATTAGAACAGGGGACCATGCCAGTAGTTTTTGGACATTCTTGCCCTAGAGGAATAACGCTAGAGGAATGCTACTTCAAATGAAGGTTACGATACAAATCTGGGAAGATACAGAAAAATCGTATTGTAAGCATATCCATTTGATACCTTGGTAAATGAGCCCTTTCCACAGGAGAGGACGGTACCTGATTTAATCCACATCATACGGGACATGCAACTTCAGTGCACTGAAACAAACAGGACTGGTATCTAGCAAGTTTTCTACGATGCCAAAAGATGGAATGTTTTAATTCAATTAATGCCTTCAGCTGAATAATTCTTTTTTCAAAAAAGAACTGCTTGTTACTGCAAAACAGATCCAAATACTTGTTTAGGCCATTCTACATGTTTTATGAATAAACCCAGAGCAACGACATGAAAGATACCTTCAGGCTTCGGCTCACCACTATTAGATTTTGTTACTATTTCCTCCTGATTCAATCCTGCATTCAGAAAATGGATAAAAAACATGGAAATGGGAATACTCTAGTTCAAACAAAATCTATGGCACATGATGGTAATGTATTCCCTATTTGCTTTTATCAAGGTGGGCAAAACATACACATGCATAGTCTAATCACTCGCTTCATGGAAAAAGCCTCAGAACACATCTTAACCTGGGGTAAATTTGTATTTGAGAAGCTCTCAGAAATCTGTTGTCTTCATCAATCTTAGACTGGTCTGCTTCCTCTCTCTCAATGAACCTCCCTGCTTTTGAACTCTCATAACAAACTGTCTTCACTCACTATTCCTTCAAGTTCCTCTGATTTCATGCAAGTCACTTTAAGACCTACTTCCAAGCATTCATACTTGAAAAGGTGTGCATCAGTTGAGGTGGAGGCTACAAACTTGAAAATACAATAAAAAGATGACCAACATTTTAAATAAGGTAATAACCATTCTAAAAAACAATGCACAGATTTGTGCAGGAAATTTAATATATCTTTCATCAATTCAAAACTAAACGGCTGTTCATAGTGAAATAGTTCTCAAAGTTTATTTTACAATGCTACTTTCTATGGAATTCCTGCCTTTAACTTGAAAGAGCAACTCAGTAGAAAAATGGCAAGAGACAAAATCCAAAGACTCGATTAAAAATTATGTCAGGGTAATCTGAAAATCAGCAATATGTTTGTTCATTCTACTAGGCAGAACTAGAGAATTGCTATCAACACTCTTCCCTGAACCATAGTAAAGTTAAAAAGTCAGCAGCTTCTGAATGGGCAAACTCTTCCTACTGTTTACAGTGAAGTTTACTTCATCAATACTTTGTCTGCTACAATGAAGCACCCTGAACGCATAAATGCCAAAAGAAAACAGGGATCTGTAACAGACAGAAAACAACAGCATTTTCAAATAGCTTTTAAAGACATGATTAGGACAAGCCAATGTCTGCTGAGTAACTACAGTTTGAAAGAAACTAAGTTTTTTAATTACACTCCTTAGGAATAGCCTTTGACAGAGTTTTCACTTTAGAATACACAGATTCTAAAGCCAGGACCACTTTAATACAATTTTAAGGGTTAATAAAATCTTAAGGGTTACAATAGCATTACTGACAGACTATGATAAAACCAAGTCTCTGGTATCACTGGACCAAGCAGAAGTATGGCCTAGCCACTATGACTGGTCAATGCAAAAAATTACCTTCACAGCCATCACCTTGACTGTGACATGCAAAATGGAAAAGCTGCCCGTTTTCAGAGCAGATCCAAAGCACAGGCATTTGAGTTTTTTAGCATTTTCATACTTAAAAGGGGAGGAGAAAGTTGGTGGAAGGATTTAAGTCCAGTATTTACGAGTAATCTTCACCCTATCATTAGTTCCCTATGGGAAGCTAACTATACAAGACACTTCAGTCAGCACACAAAGCCCTATAAATTCTGATCACAAGACATTCCATTAGGGGGAATTCAGACAAGCCTGGAAAACCTCTCAGTATGCATCCCTGAATGTAAAGAACTCAGACTGGAAAGGATTCCACTCTGTGGCCCTGTTCTCCAAGATCTGACAGTTAGAATGTCAACAGTATCAGAGAAGTCAACTTTAATGTGTTCATACCAGAACTAGCCAGGCAGAGCTGTGGCTGGTCTTACAACTCAGAAAGTGAAGGCATAACCATAATTATATCACTGTCTGTCACTCCTGGGGATTTAAGAAGTTTCCCCAAACCTGACACTACAGTCAAGCACAGTGATTACAGACACGATTTATGGTCAATTACTGAAATAGCATTTTCTGCTTTGTATATAATTTTACTGGGATTATTTGGGAATCTGAATTGAAAAAAAAAAAAAACAAAAAAAAAAAAAAAAAAAACCAAACAACCAAACCAAACAAAACAAAAAAAAAAACCAAACAAAATTTGCCTTCCAATTCTGTCGATACACCTAGTTAAAAACTGTTTTGTTCACATGTGTGTACGCTTCTGGAGCAATGGAATAATTTCAAATGCATATATTTGACCTGTCAGTCACAGACAACATGTATCCCAAAGAATACCTCCTCGCATTTAATTCTACTTACAACCTTTGAAATAATGATCTTTAGCTAAGCACTCCAGAGTATTCCATCTGCTTATTTGGCTTAATGCAACCAGGAGAAAAATTACATAGGCTTTTCAGTTCTACCCTCTAACATCACACATAGTTCTTAACTTAAAACAAAAAGTTTAAGAGATTAAAGAGGACTTACTAAGGTACTAAAAAAAAAAAAATACTTTAGTCAATTATATGAATTAATCATCGAGCAATCAAGTTCAACAATTTTATGGTGATATGGCAATAACTAAAATGCCACAATTGGCACTGCTTTATAATACGAAACCATCACAATCCACTACGTTCACCCCATGTGCAGGCCACTGCAATGGACCAAGGAGCGAGACAATCTCCAAGGCACATTTATGCTACATGGAGTTTTATTTCACTTTAGCAGACAACAGTAAACTTTGTTATTTCAAATGTTGAAGAAATCTCTACGAGTTGTTTTCCTCAAAAATCAGACAATAACACCCAAGTATGTTTGCAGGAGTTATCCAAAATCAGTCTCAGGTGCAGCTCAACAACAGTGCCAGGTGTCATCCAGTAACTGCTGAGCACACACAATAACACCAATACATTCAAACATCCTTCTGTTTTTGAGCTACTCGAGTAAGAAATAGAGTTGAAAAATATCCAGATTCTTATCTGTAATGCTAAAGTGACAAAGCATATGTGTATGTATGTACAAGACAGTCAGATGTGTACAAAATCACCTTAATAAAAACTCAAATTCCACAGAAATGCCCAAACTGTTCTGAAGCAGTAATGCAGGAGTCACAAAACCTTAGAAACAAACATGTCAATATGTGTATTTCCTAGCTGGTTCCAAAATAATTCTTAGGGTAAAACAGTCATAGAAAGAAATAACTGAAGGAAACCAACAATGTCTTGTGGATTGGGTTTTTTCCCCTTTTTTTAACTAGCACCCAGTAAATATTTTGTTGTTACCCTAGAACAGAATTCAGAGAACAGCCACCTGATTACACAGCTAGCTACAGTCTCATTTCCTAACCAAAATACAGCAATTTCCTAAAACTCAGAGGTGAAATGCAGGAATTAAAGGTTTGCTTCAATAATAGAAGGGTTTTTTTCCTGCTTCACAGACACATCCAACCCCCCCTGTTTCTGAGAGTGCAAAGAGGATAGTGGGCAGCAGAGAAGCTGAAGCCTTGGGACACAAAGAAGATTTCAGCTAGTGTGAGAAACAAGCCCAAAACACCTTCCATCAAACCAAACAAAAGATGGAGGAGAATGACAACCCCCAAGCCCATAGGTGACCCCCCCCCAACCCCCTGCCTGTGTGTTTTAAGGGTGCCAAAATACCATACCTTTGCCTTTTGCAGCAGCGCTGCTGCCAACTGAGGAGGATGCCTGGGAATCCTTCTTCAGCCTCTTGCTCTGAGGTCTGACGCTGG